AGAAGGAACACACCAAGGCACATCATAATTACATTAGCCAAGATTAGAATGAAGGAGAGAATCCTAGAAGCAGCAAGAGCTAAGGGGTCAGTCACCTACAAAGGAGTTCCCATCAGACTCAGCTGATTTCTCAAAAGAGACCTTACAGGCAAGAAGGGGCTGGAAAGAGGTACTCCAAGTCATGAAATCCAAAGACCTACAACGAAGATTGCTCTATCCAGCAAAACTTTCATTTAGAATGGAAGGACAGATAAAGTGCTTCTCAGATAAGATCAAATTCAAGGAGTTCATCATCACCAAGCCCTTATTATATGAAATGTTAAAGGGACTTGTCTAAGAAAAAAGAAGTTAAAGAAACATGAACAGTGAAAGGACAACAAACTCACAGTTATTAACAACCACACCTAAAACGAAAGCAAACTAAAAGGACAGCTAGATCAGGAGTGGAAACATAGAAATGAAGATCTCAAGGAGGGTTAGCAACAGGGGAGTGGGAGGAGGAGAAGGGGGGAGAAGGTACAGAAAATAAGTAGCATAGACAGTAGATAGAAAATAGAAGGGGGGCAAGAATAGTATGGGAAATATAGAATCTAAAGAACTTGAGACACATGGTCATACACTAAAGGGGGGGTAATGGTGGGGATGGGAGGGTAGGGTGGAGGGGAATGAAAGGGGGAATAGAACAACTGTAACAGCATAATCAATAAAAAAAATTTTTTTAAAAGAAAAATAAATAAAATCTTAAGAAAAAAAAAGAAAGTATACTCCCTCTTTGGATTATAAATAAAATGAATGCTTATTGCATGAAATTTAGAAAACATACAGAAATATTAAAGTGTATCAATTCCAATTTCTTCCTTCACACCTTTTATGTTCCACTCTTTTTAAAAAAAAGGCAAAAAACCTTTTTTGGTATTTATTGAGTAGGCAATTCTCTAACATGGTTCTCAGTTTCTTTGCTGTGACCATTGCATCCCACTAGTTCCTTTTGGGTTCATTTTTCTTTTTTTTAAGATTTTATTTATTTATCTTTAGAGGGGAAGGGAAGGAGAGAGGGAGAGAAACATCAATGTATAGTTGCCTTTCGTGCATCCTCTGCCGGGAACTGGCCTGCAGGGAACCGGCCTGCTACCCAGGCATGTACCCTGACTGGGAATCGACCTGCGATTGTCTGGTTCACAGGCCTGTGCTCAATCTACTGAGCTATAACAGCCAGAGCCCCATTTTTCTTTCTTTTTTTTAAGTTGATTTTTAAAGAGAGGAAGGAATAGGGAGAGAGAGACAGACTTCGATTTGTTATTCCACTTATTTATGCATTCATTTGTTGCTTCTTGTGTGTGTCCTCACGTGGAGCTTGAACCTGTAACCTTGGCATATCAGGACAATGCTCTTACCAACTCGACTATGCAGCCAGGGCTTTCATTTTACTTCTGAACAAATTCTTGAGTAGTTCTCTCATTAAGGATCTATCAATGATAAACTGCTTTTTTGTCGAAAAATACTTTTATTTCACTCTTATTCATCAGTTATAGTCTAGCTAGATATGGTTGGTAATATTTTTTCTTATAGTGCTTTAACTATATTCTTGTATTCTGATATCTTGCTGATGAGAACTCTAGAGGTGCAATGATATATTTTGTTTTTTTTTAAGTCACCTTGAAAAACTTTTTTTACCCTTAAAATGTTTCTTAGATTTACTATGCTGATATACCAAATGAATTACTCTAATTTTTTAAAAAGATTTATTTATTTATTTATTTATTTATTTATCTTTAGAGGGGAAGGGAAAGAGAGAGAGAGAGAGAAACATCAATGTATGGTTGCCTTTCATGCATCCCCTGCTGGGAACTGGCCTGCAGGGAACTGGCCTGCAACCCCAGTATGTGCCCTGACTGGGAATCGAACCGCGATTGTCTGGTTCGGAGGCGCGGGCTCAATCCACTGAGCTACACCACCCAGGGCTCTAATTTTTAAAATAAGAAGTAAATGGTGGACTTCTGCCAAGATGGAGGCATAGGTGGAGAAACTGTGCTTTCTCACACAACCAAGTTTAGAGACAACTAAATATTAGCAACAGAAAACACAGCCAGAACACGGAAAATTGAACTTTTTGGAAGTCTGTTAACAACAAATTCTTCAGCCTGACCAGTAAGAGGGGCGAAACCAGCAGCTGGTGGAGCAGGGTAGCACAGGAAAACTCGGTCTGGCGCGGAATCCAGGCACAGGGTTGGACTTAGTGAGAGACCCAGCGAGCAACCTCGGGGAAACAGCGAGGGAGCAGGGCTGTGGGTTGACTGTGGTCACACATCTGTGCGTGGATAGACAAGTGAGGGAGTGGGCGATTGGACCGGGACCCAGCGGGTCCCCGCGGCTAGCGGCAGCGGAGGGCGCAGCCATTCCCCCGCTCTGACCCCACCTCCACATACAGTGTCATAACCCAGCGACTCTGAGTGGCCCGGCCTCAGTGAACCACGTAAGGCTCTGCTTCTCACCCAGAAACACAAAACAGCAGAGGGGGCCGCCATTTCCCCGCTCTGACCACACCCCCACATACAGCATCACAAACCAGCAACCTGGGAGTCCAAGGCGCCGCATCTCACACTTAAAGGGCGCAAACAGACCAAAAATGTCGCAAGAAGATCTCAAAGACCCAGAGCCCATAGATCTAAGCACTGAAGAAATAGCAAAACTCTCAGACACAAAGTTTAAAACACTGGTCATCAGGATCCTCACAGAACTGGTTGATTATAGCCACAAATTAGACAAACATATGAAGGCGAAACTAATTGAAATGAATGGAATTGCACAGGAATCCAATAGTGATGAAAAGGAAACTGGGACTCAAATCAATGGAGTGGACCAGAAGAAAGCAAATAATGGCCAAACAGAAAAGAGTCAAGAAGCAAGAATTCAAAAAAATGAGGAGAGTCTTAGGAACCTCCAGGACATCTTTAAACGCTCCAACATCCGAATTATAGGGGTACCAGAAGGGGGGAAAGGCACAGCCACCAGTGGAAAACTTATTTAAACAAATAATAAAGGAGAATTTCTGCAACCTGGCAAAGGAAATAGACTTCCAGGAAATCCAGGAAGCTCAGAGAGTCCCAAAGTTGGACCCAAGAAGGAACACACCAAGGCACATCATAATTACATTAGCCAAGATTAAAATGAAGGAGAGAATCCTAGAAGCAGCAAGAGCTAAGGGGACAGTCACCTACAAAGGAGTTCCCATCAGACTCAGCTGATTTCTCAAAAGAGACCTTACAGGCAAGAAGGGGCTGGAAAGAGGTACTCCAAGTCATGAAATCCAAAGACCTACAACGAAGATTGCTCTATCCAGCAAAACTTTCATTTAGAATGGAAGGACAGATAAAGTGCTTCTCAGATAAGATCAAATTCAAGGAGTTCATCATCACCAAGCCCTTATTATATGAAATGTTAAAGGGACTTATCTAAGAAAAAGAAGTTAAAGAAACATGAACAGTGAAAGGACAGCAAACTCACAGTTATTAACAACCACCCGTAAAACAAAAGCAAACTGAAAGGACAGCTAGATCAGGAGCAGAAACATAGAAATGAAGATCTCAAGGAGGGTTAGCAACAGGGGAGTGGGAGGAGGAGAAGGGGGGAGAAGGTAGAGAAAATAAGTAGCATAGACAGTAGATAGAAAATAGATGGGGGGGCAAGAATAGTATGGGAAATATAGAATCTAAAGAACTTGAGACACATGGTCATAAACTAAAGGGGGGTAATGGTGGGAACGGGGGGATAGGGTGGAGGGGAATGAAGGGGGGTAATAGAACAACTGTAATGGCATAATCAATAAAAAATAAATTTAAAAAATTTAATAAAACACAAAAACTAAAAAAAAAAAGTAAATGGTAAAGTGTGAGTCATTAATATGGTAACATTTAATCCAAAGCAAAATTACCTAAAATTGCTACTTAAATATATACCTATGGTAAAGTGCTATATTTTGTAATACGTTATACACAGCATCTTGTGTTTATTTTTGCCTTTTTTTTTTTAAGTGAAATTTTGGGCCTGGCTGCTGTGGCTCAGTTAGTTGGAGCACTGTCCGTTAGATGAGAGGTTGTAGGTTCAATCACCAGTTGAGGCATGTACAATCCCCAATCTAGGCTTATATAGGAGGCAACCACAATGTTTCTGTCCTCATATCAGTGTCTCTCTCCCTCTCTAAAAGCATGAAAAATGTTCTTGGGTGAGGATTTTAAAAAATGATATTTGAATTATATTTTAATACAGATGAAGTCCTGTAATAGACCAGTGCTGTCCAATAGAAGTTACTTTGGTGGCAGAAATGTTATATATATCTGCATTGTCTAATAAAGCCACCACTAGACCCTGAGCGGAAATAGATTATTTTTTAACTTACCCTTATCTCTTACCAAGTGAATAGAAATTTTGAATTAATAACTTGGTTAGTTCTAAGCCATGTGATTTAAGATAATTCATTTTTACATGCAGATTTTTTTCAAAAATTTAAAGATGATTAGCTTCTTTGACTATACAGTATAGGGTTAGAAGTACATTGAAGTTAAGAACAAACTGACAGTAACCAGAGGGGAGGGGATAGTAGGCAGGGGGGAAAGGGCGAAGGATTCACAGGAACAGGTATAAAGGACATACAGACAAAAACAGGGCTGAAAGTGGGGAGGGAGGTGGGAATGCCTGGGGTGGTGGGGAGGGGTGAGGGGAGAAGGCAGGAAACTATACTTGCACAATAAAATTTTAAAGTATTTTTAAAAATAAAAATTTAAAAAAGTAAGTTATAGAATTATAATGAGAATGTATGTTTAGCTTATAGTCTGATTTCTATATTCAGGGTGTTCTCGAAGTGTTATATTAAGGTTGGTATATCTTCTGAGGTTACTTTTTATAAAGTACTAATTCTTAAATGAGAAGAATTATAGGAACAACTCTTAAGGTTTCAGTCTTTTAAACAAGTGAATTTGTTAATAATGTCTTCTGTTTTTCAGATTGCAAATAGAAGAATCTTCTAAACCTGTAAGGCTGTCACAACAACTGGACAAACTTGTGACAACCAATTATAGACCTGTTGCCAATCATCAATATAATGTAAGTCTGTCTTTCTTCATTATATCTTTCTTCTTTTCTGCATGATAGACCTATCTTTCAGAGGCTTGAGTTATCCAAACTTAATAAGAAATATGACAATTTGCCAAACATAGAGTAGATATTCACTCTATATCAAAGGTGGCAACACACAAGGCCTTGAGGCCGAATCTGGCCAGGCACCTTGTTTCTGCCCAGTGGCAGCACTGAGCTCTCACATAACTGTTAAGGAGTAGTTACATTTATACAGTCCTAAAATTACATTTGGCCCTTTGAAGGTACCCTCAGGGCTAATATGGCACCTGGTGAAAATGAGTGTGACATATATCCTAAGTTACACTATTCAAACTACTCTTGATGTTTTTCAAAGAAATAAAACACTTCATTTTTCAATGTTTCTAATGTTTTAAATTATGGTGTTCTTAATAAATAATAGTTTTACTTTAAATTTTTTTCTGTACCTTTATAACAGATTTTTATGTTTTGAGAAAATATACAAAGATTGTGAAACAATAGCAATTTTTCCCATTGATTATTAAGACAGCTTCGCATAATTTCAGCTTTCACAGGTATTTTTATTGTTTCACACTACCATGCAAAGTGAATACTTCCCTGTGTTTTTTAAACCTTTTTTATTGAAGCATATCATATATACTATATATGTTATATTCTATAATATACAATACACACATAATTGCATACATATTATGTATACTTTGTGCCAGACATTGTTCTGAGTGTCTCATAAATAGTGACATGTCATCTTCATACCTACCCTATGAAGTGTTTTATTGTTATTATTGTCATTTTAAAGATGAAGTAACTAAGACACAGAGGTTAGCTTACTTGAGGTCACACAGCTAATAATTATTGGTCCAGGTTTTGAACCCAGGCAGCCTGATGTAGGAGTCTAAATCTTAATTAACCAGCATGCTATGCTGCTGTAGGTGATTAGCAATGATAACAGGGCAAAGGGTTTTGGGTCTTAAAGTACCTGTAATGTAAGGAGAAATGTGATGATTCTCGGAAAATAAAAGGAAGCCTAAGTTAAGTAGCAGCTAATTAACAGCTGATATCTGGTGTTCTGCTTTATTACTTAAGATCCTCTTGATACTGAAGATCTTAAGTACCCTTATTCTTTCTTTAGGAAGAAATAAGCTCTTTAAGACTGGCTTGAACCACCATTTTTCTATTGTTTGGGGGGTTTTTTTGAACCACTACTTTGTGATATTTGAATTTCATAGTTATTTTGTATGAGATGGGGCGGATGCCTGCAGGGCCACACAGGCATCCTCAGTGAGCATAATGCTGTCATTTAAGAAGGTAAAATCATCGGGACTGTGATGAACTAAAGTGCACCTGCCCCTTCTAAAGACATTCAAATTTTAAAACTTGCTACACTATGTAGATTAAGTGAAGCAAGTCAAAGTTAAGTTGCATCCAGTCAGGCTTTAATTTTACAACCTTTAGTTATACTTTAGGAGAAATGTAAACTAAAGAAGAGAACAGACCAGATAAGTGGAGATGTAATTGTCAGATTCTCCAAGAAATGTATTTTTCTGTTATCTGTTGATTGAGACAAATAGATAAAAGTTTACTTTTCTTGTCCTCTTTTATTCTTATCTTTGCTACTCATATGGGGATACATACAGTTTTCTGAAGCGAAGTGGAAATGCAGAAGTGAAGTACTGTAGGGTTTTTTAAAATTTAATTATTACTCAAGTACAGTTTTCTGCCTTTTACTCCCATCCCAGCCCACACCCCCAGTGCTGCCCACCTCCCTCCCATTTCCACCCTCCTTAGTTGACCATGTGTCTTTTATACTAGTTCCTATAAATCCTTCCCCTATTCCCCCTGAAATTCCCTCCCCTCTCCCCTCTGGTCACTGTCCACCTGTTCTCTATTTTAGTGTCTTTGGTTATATTTTGCTTGCTTGTTTATTTTAGCTTCCTGTTAAAGGTGAGATCATATGGTATTTGTCTTTTAACACCTGACTTATTTCACTCAGCATAATGTTTTCCATTTCCATCCATGCTGTTCCAAAGGGTAGGAGCTCCTTCTTTCTTTCTGCTGCATAGAATTCCATTGTGTATATGTACCATAATTATTTGATCCATTCATTTACTGACGGCACTTAGGTTGCTTCCAGCTCTTGACTATTATAAATTGTGCTTCTATGAACATTGGGGTGCATAGGTTCTTTTGGATTGGTGTTTTAGGGTTCTTAGGGTATAATCCCAGCAGTGAAATTGCTGGGTCAAAAGGCAGGTCCATTTTTAGTTTTCTGAGAAAAATTCCATACTATTTTCCACAGTGGTTGTACCAGTCTACAATCCCACCAACAATGGATTACGGTCCCATTTTCTCCACAACCTCTCCAACATTTGTTGTTTGTTGCTTTGTTTATGATGGCCATTCTGACCAATGTAAAGTGGTATCTCATTGTGGTTTTAATTTGCATATCTCTGATAGCTAGTGATAATTGAGCATCTTTTCATGTGTCTCTGGGTCTTCTGTATGTCTTCCTTGGAGAAATGCCTGTTTAAGTCCTTTGCCCACTTTTTAATTGGGCTGCTTGTCTTCTTAGAGTGGAGTCGTGTAAGTTCTTTGTATATTTTGGAGATTAAACCCTTGTCTGAGGTATCATTGGCAAGTATGTTTTTCCATACAATTGGTTCTCTTTTTATTTTAATACTGTTTTCTTTAGCCATGCAAAAGCTTTTAATTTTGATGAGATCCCATTTGTTTATTCTTTCCTTTATGTCTCTTGCTCTAGGGGACATATCAGTAAAAAAGTTGCTGTGTGAAATATCTGAGATTTTCTTGCCAGTGTTCTACTCTAGGACCTTAATGGTGTCATGGTTTATATTTAAGTCTTTTATCCACCTTGAATTAATTTTGGTCAATGGTGTAAGTTGGTGCTTGAGTTTCATTTTTTTGCATGTAGATTAACATCATCAAAATGTCCATACTACCCAAAGCAATTTACAGATTCAATGCAATACCTATTAAAAGTACCAATGACATACTTCACAGACATAGAACAGACACTTCAAAAATTTATAGGGAACCATAAACAACCCCAAACAGCAGCTGCAATTTTGAGAAAGAAGAACAAAGTAGGAGGGATCACAATACCTGATACCAAACTGTATTAAAAGGCCACTGTAATCAAAACAGCCTGGTACTGGCATAAAAACAGGCACATAGACCAATGGAACAGAACAGAGAGCCCAGGAATAAACCCAAATCTCTACAGTCAATTAATATTCGACAAAGGGGGCAGTAACATAAAATGGAGTAAAAATAGCCTCTTCAACAAATGGTGTTGGAAATACTATAGGTTTTAATTGTTTTTGTTCATTAGTGTACTTCTCCTGTAGCTCCTGACAATTTCCACTTTTTCCCCCACTTGTGGGCCCGGCTTCTATATACAGTTTCCACTCCTGAATAGGTTTTTATCACAGTGAGGACAAGAAAGACCTCACTTTCCACAAGCTATAAAGAGTTAACCTTTCTGGAAGAAAGTTTGCCCAAAGATATATATGCAGCAATGTTTCTCTTAATTTTTTAAAATAGGGCAAGGTTGGAAACAAATGTTCAGAAATGAAGATTAGTTAAATACTTTAAGAGTCACTATTTTTGGTTAATAGGAGTAAAGTGTTTCTAGTCTAATTTTCTTCTTTATAAAAGTGTTTTGAATTATAACAGTATATTGTTTGAATTATTCCAGTGGACAGTAACACTTTTCTCTTGCGTTGGAAAAAGCAGAAAACTTTGGAAATGTTAGTACCAGCTATGACAGTATTCTGTCACAATTATCTAAGATTTGTCTTCTCTTAACAGCAGATGTTTTTTAAACGCTTCCTCATGCCTGAGGGTACCTACTCCCAGTGAACCAAATAGATGAATTCCTGTCTTCAAGATGCTATTACTACTTTTCATTCTTTGGTTGTGCTTTTTCAGACCCCAGCAGGGTATGATCTCTTAATTTCTTTGAAGTAGTAAGTCCACGTTTCTATACTATAATCATTTTTCCTTAATTCCACTAAAAGAGTCACTCCTGTTATACTGCTACAGACCATAATTTCTGAGGCAAAAGAAATCAAGCCTGTCTCTCTCTTAGGTCAGTCAAAGTTGGCACTTTGCTAGTATCAAATCTCTGACCTTTCTCTAGTTTATTTTTTAGTGACATTGGCACTGTACATTTACCTGGCAATATAGAAGATAGGGTCCAAATGTCATATTTTAGGATGTTTTCACATTGTTTTTTTAACTAATAAAATATCAATATGTTGTGTTCGGAACCCCTTGTTAGTATATAAAGCTGACATCCAGTTTAAAGACTCTTTAACATTAAGTGACCTTTCTGTTCACTGTTAAGCTTGTCATAGTGTGAAGCAGTCATTATGTTAATGTAATTATAGTAATGAGTCTTACAGTAATTTTTATTCAAATTTTGTTTATACAAAAACAAACACTGACTGTAAACGGCTATAATGCATTATTTGAATGTTTAGTAATTTTTTCCATCAGAGTATGTGAGAGTGGGTGGAGATATACGCATAACTTTTAAAAGCATACTCAGTATTATAGTATAATACCACCTGTAGGAAGATTATAAAACTTTTGTTACTATTAACCAAAAGGAACAGTAATTTTTTTCATGTTTTAATTTTTATAGTTCATTTTTATTGTATTTTTTCCTTTACCATTTATCTTCCCATATCCTCTTCCACCTCTACCACCCTCTTACCCCCACAATTACCATGCTGTTGTCCATGTTCATGAGTACTTTTTATTTTTTTGCTCAATCCCTCTACACCCTCCAAGTGCCCTGCCCAGAGCTGTCAGCCTGCTTTCTATCTATAACAGGGTCTCTTTCTGTTTTGCTTGTTAGTTTAGTCTGTTCATTAGATTCCACATATTCATGAAATCATATAGTATTTGTCCTTTTCTGACTGGCTTATTTCACTTAGCATAATGTTCTCCAGATCCATCCA